TGCATTTTTTTTTCATGTCCCTGGGCGCAGGGACACAAGGCAAATTTCTAGGTTTGAATACAGGATTGATGCTGATTTATTTTCATTCATTTCCTAAATTTTCGACAGTGTTATAACAACAAATTTCGTTGGCTTTCAACTGCAGAGTAATTTGATATTTTCAAAGAAAAATTCTCACAAAAGATAAGTCCCATATCTTCTTGGGTTACCCCAAAAGTTTTTAGTTGCTATTTAGTTGCTGAAAGTCGCACACACAAGACTGGACACCTGTGCAATATGTAACACAAAACTTGAGGGCGCTATTTCAAATCAATGTGAGAAAAGCACAGTCGAACGCATTTCACCAAATGGTTGGAATTCTGTGAGCAAGCTCATTAGTAATTTGTGATCCCTCGGGTTTTTTTTACAATAAGACATGCCATAATCAGGAGGGATCATAGAAATATTTCTATAAATCCTGAATTTGGACCGGTAGTTTCTAGGTCCGGATACTTCTTGTACAAAAAGCCCAAAATTGCGGGCCCATTTTGGATAGAGGCGAGCGGCTACCTTCAGAGTTGAGCGCATAGTCTTACTACTATATATTTTAGGAGTATTTTTGGGGTAAGGCGAATAAAAAACTTTTTCGCTGCTAACCCCCATCGCATTGAAACGAAAAGTGATCTTCTAGCCACAATCTTGAATTTCCAGTGAAAAAAATGGAAATAAAATTCATTCATATATTAATCAGCTTAAAAGTTGAGCTCACACTGACTTGACTTGATTTCCGGTAATTCACTGCTGCGTACAGTTCAACCATTATTTTTTCCAAATTTATCCATTCCAGGTGCGGAATTCAGTTTTTCTTAAAAATATGACGGGTGGATTGAGCACAAAAAAAACTCCATTTTAAAAGTAGACGCAACGAAATTCGCAACACTCGTCATTTACCCTCCTGAAAATACGCATACGCCGGGGACGCGTTTTGGACTCAATGTCCTATCCAGTCTATATACTGGAGATCAATGCATGTAACCCTATGTGCAGTGCACGTGTACAGTGGGCATGGTTTAAACTAAAGTGACTTCACAATTACGAACCGGCTTAGGATAAGCCAGACTTTTTAGAGACAATGCTGGACAAATCTCGTTGGAACATGCCTCCCCCTCGCCCCCTGTCAACGTTGCTTCTCATTGGGTAAGTTGGGCGGTTGAATCTTGGTCCAATAAATGAACGCAACATTGAATGGGGGACACTGGGAATCTTTGCAACGCGCTTCCCACAAGGCGTTCCAACTATTATGTACTGGATTGTAGCCTCGGTTCCAAGACCACCGTGGGACCAGCGCTATTCTGTACATGTCGTAAATTATTCACTATTCTGAATGTGATGACCACAACGAACATAGATATCAATCCTCCTGTGGTAGGTTTCAGTTCTTGGAATTTCATAAAAGGTATCCTTTCACTCATTGAAAGCGGGTGCATTAAAGGCAATTTTCTTTTATAGGCTTTTTATATACATGTATCCAAACAAGAGTTCCTTCAATGGCTGTCAAAATCGCCAGATGTTTGGAGTTTTCCAATTCTACAGACATCGAAACAATATATACTGCTGTCCGCACAAAACACAGCGAAGGGCCTGACAGTTGATCCCTTATGGCGCGCTTCCGGAACCTTGGATAGGAAAAATAGCGTGCAAAAATTTTAGAATACATAATATTTTTTTGTTCAGTTACTTCTAAAATAAAAATCCAACTCGGATAAAGGGCTTTGGAAAGTATTTCCTAGTATATCAATATAAAAAAACTAAAAAATCACCTGACTGAAAGAGAAATATCCCGCCAAAAATTGACCCCTCACTCCCGAAAATCTAAAATACATGAACAACAGTCCAATGCGGCAGTCTCGTACGCAGGTGAACATTTACGGTTTGGAATTTTATGGTAGTCTGTCGGTAAAAGCCGAATAAAAACAGATCAAAATAATTCACAAACTGTTATGATTTATAAGGTAATAAACTTAAAGCAATAATCTACTTTTACGAGAAATTATAATATTCTATTTCACCTTTGCTGACAACATTTGCATTATGTCAACTCAACGGAATCTGGAACCCATCGACTACAGGTAGGTAAATCTTTGCAACGTTTTACAACCTCGTTTTCACGTAAGCACGAGGAGTGAAAACAAACGTGCATGAACAAGGAGACCTAGGTATGTAAAGTCCCCTTGGCGGACTGCGCAAGGGATTCAGAAGCTCCCTGCGTGACCTTTTACGTGTACTTTCCGGCTCTATTCCCATCCCTCAAAGCACGGTCGAATCACCATACAGTCGTAGGGCACAATATTATAGGCAATCAATCACCACCCGGTCATCACGATTGCTGTCAGCGCGAGCAATCATTTCCAAAAGCCAATTAGCGATAATACATGTACTTCTTTACCAATAAACACGCGTAGAAATGTCCAGTCGTGTGGCTCACATTAATTAAGCCGCACAATTTCTTTGATTTTAACTCGCCATCAACGCCTTGGGATTGAGCAAAAAGAAGATATACAGCGACCAATTTACTTCGAAAGTATTTTTTCGCATTATCAGGGGCCTTGTAATCGACGCAAATACCTTAATGTTTTTTTTCACCACGAAAAAGTAGTGAATGATTCAATAGCCCATCCCTTGGTCCAAAAGTTGGGGATATGCAGACTGTACATATACCTCCCACGGGATTATACGCCCATGGAAAATAGGTCTCCAACTTCTCGACATCACGCGCCAAAAACAAAGTTGTGTTCACAGAGAATCTTCCGGTCTTGCCGACGTCACATCTGGACTACCGCAAGGTACGGGAAATAAATTCGGCCTCAGATGTCACCCTTCTTCAAAACGATTTGATGCCTTGTGTAAGTTGGGAGAGTGAATGGGAAAAACGTTCAATGGAGAATGCCTTGTTATGCACGTGACCTGCATCAAGGCCCTATAATTTTAGTTATATAACATTAACAAGAAATCTCTTCAAACGAGTTCCAACCATCCTTATCTAGGGCCCCATCATGAGCAGAGACTGTGGTTGGTCTCATCATATCAACAAGATTACTTCTAAATACCAAAAAAGAAAAAAAGACTGTTGGAATCATCAATCATGCTGCCAAAATGTAAAATCCTGTCTCCAACAGTCCCTAGTCTACGCTACACTGGAATATGCTGTGCGGATTGGACCTCAATGAAATTTTGGAAAGTTTTTTTAGTTTAGCTTCATGCGAAAGATGTTGATTGCAGGCATTAATAAAACTGTTAACTAGCATGTAAAATTAGCGTCAAATTCCAATTGATGCATTTTCTAAACTCACCCAATTACAACTATTATACGTGAATGCACCTATCTGATGCAAACTCCGCAAAGTAAAACAATTCCACATTTCACATCTTTCGTCTGCAGAAATTAGGCCTACATGGAAAAAATATCCAAATGATAAAAAGGCCAGCTTAAGGTCTATTTACTATGAATTCAATATTTCTATGCATTCATAATTTAGACAGTCTTCCTCTTCAAAATCTTAGCTATTTTCCATGTTCAATTCTTTCCTGTCCATCCATGTCCTGCAATATCACTCGCTCGCATAGTATTATGTGGCACAATACAATGATAGTCGTTAGTTTTTCTTGTAGGGCAAGTGCTGAATGACTTTCCCGGGGATCATTTTTACATCTGGTGGTTTGCTCATTCTCCAGTCTAATGATAGATCATATCCAGTGTCGACTGTCGATTATGCAAAAGTGAGAATCCAGTTCTTCGTCAGTCTGATCAGTTTTATCAGTTTGATAACGTAAGATTGTACGTGTACTGTGGCGGGTGTCCAGGCTTGGGTCCTTTCAGTCTATGAGTGAATGTATAGTGAGACAGGGTACAAAGCGGATTTACGTAGCCCTTCCCAGTATACTTTTGCCAAGACTCGGATCTACGTTTACTCATAGTCATAGTAGGTACAGGCCTCCACTGGCATAATAAAGTATTTGTTGGCATCAACCTCCGACACAGTGACGTTGTTGAATTGGCACGACTGTCCAGACAAGTTGAAGGAGCGGCACAGGGGATCCGCAGCACACGCTAGGCAACATTGGACAGGACTTACAATGTCAATCTCCTTGAAGGCGTGGCCAAGCAGACAGTAGGGTGGGGTGTGAAGACCGAAGCCCTTCGGGGTAACGGTATGACAACTGATGGCCGTACGGCACCTGTTGCGCTCACACATGAAGGGTTTTTTGTCGGTGCAGTTGTACAGGTCCCAGACACCGACACGGTACTTCAGCACCAAACAGCCAGAGTGGGTCAGTTTGTTCCATGGATTCAGGTGAGAGTAGCTGCCCTGCAGGTTTCGTCCGTAGCACTCCAC